GACGAGCAGTGTTTGGCACTGCGTGTGCAGCTGTGTGGAGAAGCCCATGTCCACCTCTATCCGTTACTATCCTGATCACTGTACTAAACACTGATAAATCTATGCTAACTTGAAGCTATGCTACTAGCTACACAAATAATCTAAATTATCTATATAATGCTATGCTAAATAGATGCAACAATACTCTTAATCCTGATTGTTTTCATAAATAACTATATAAATGCTATGCTAATAGATGATGCTAATATATGCTATCCTGATCGTTTTCAATACTCATAAATCCAACTCCTGACTCGCTACAGTAGTTTTGACGGAACCAGATGCTTTTATACCAGGGGCTGCCAAGGGCATGGTGAGCTCGCACCAAGGGCGTGACAGAGTCGCGTCTGAGAGTTCGCTACGTCAGAAAGTACCCCTACTGCAGGAGCTTTCCGTTTAACCTGAAGAAGGCAGCACTCAGACGTTTTTACACCATTTGAAAATCAAAACACTTTATACTCAATTGTCAAAAAATGTACTCGAATCAATGAACAGCATTTATGAAGCTCCATTCTTACAGATCATTAACTAAAAAAAGTTGTTTTGGTGTTTAGTTACCCTTTAAACACAGATCTTTTTTTTTTGCGATTTTCCAAAAGTCCCGAAGTGATGACGTCACTTTGTAGGACAACTCGGAAGCTAGCGGCGCATGGGTTCCCTCTATCTAAAAACTATGCATTTTCCCCATAGACTTTTTGAAAATCGCAAAAAATAAGATCTGTGTTCATCAAAGAGTTGTGACCCTTACACGTTTTGTCTATCAAGATAATCTTTACAAGTTAATCCAAAAATGTATTTTGAAGCCTATATAAAGTTTTTTAAAAAACATAGCAGACACAATAAAGTTTTTAAAAAAAAAACACAAGCTGGTTTTAACTGTGTGTTCTATGTCATAAATCAAAACGTGAAAATATTTAGAGGTTTTGTTCACCACAGACCTTATTTCAGGCGATTTAGCAAAAACCCATTCAAAAATCTCGAGCGAGGGAACCGTAATGCTAAAATGCTAACTCACTTCCGTGTTTTGGCCTACAGAGTGATGTCGTAAATTCGGCACTCTATAAAGGTGAAATTTATGAAAAATAAGACTTTTTTTTAAAAAGAAAAAACACGAAAACATGTTAAATTGCACCTTATAAAAACAATCATGCAAAGAAAAAGAGCAGTAAACCACCAGTGACATCATGTGACTATTTGTCCAGACGGTCCGATGCTTCCATTGAATCTCAAGATGCACTTTGGAACATTCTCAAAAAGAATTTCTAAAAAATTGTATTACATTTTAAATGAAAATAGAAGCATTTTCATTAGTGGTCTCTCTCAGACTTTTGGACTTCCACAAATAAAAGAATTCATTATGAAGCTCTCGGCTGTCTGGCAGATCCTTCCTAAACGGTTCCTTGATTTCTTTCAGATCGCAGATGAAATTTGAGGTCTTCTGATCTGCTGCTGGCGGAAAAAGATGGTCGATTTTATGTGCCAACAAGATTTCACAACAAGTTTTATCATCCCTCGGCTTGCCAAAAGTTTCAGGTATGCCAAAAAACTGATTTGGGTGGGAAATGGATGTAAATATATTACAATATTTTAAACAGAGCTGAAAGTGCTACACTCTTCCTGGTAGCTGAAAATATGACAGAATTAGCCTGAAAGTATAAAAAACAAATTTGCATGAATTTGTTGACAGTTTGACCTGTAGACCGTGGAGGTGTGAGCATGCATGCGTGTTTATGGGAGAAGAATCCCTCTGAAGGATCTCTAGTGTGTTCACAGACGACATTGAAACGGTCTGATGCCGCACTTATCATGCAGTGAATCTGACTCAGGCTTAAATTCACCTCGAAATCCCTGATTATTATGTCTCAAGTGAGAGGATTTTATGGAGACGTCCTCCTCTAAAGAACCGTTGGACTTGCCCACATCCATCTGGATGAGAAGTCTTATCCTCTGCTTATCCGCAAGGACATCTCAGGCTTACAAGTTTTAATTTATTATGATCCAACTGAGCAAAAGTTTGTCTACAGCTCAGCGAAAACACAAGCCTTCCATTTTCATGGCTGTCTGCTTGAACATGCTCTCCATTTTATTCATTTATTTGAAGAATCATTATTGATCACACATCACTTACTATTCCCCATACTTGAACAAAAATGAGTGAATTTGCTAAAAAATAAACTACTAACAATGCTCACAATGGCACATGCAAACATCACTTACAC